CGCCATGCCGGGCGACGTCACGGTCCTTGATTTTAATCTATTCATAAAGGGCTTTTGAACTGCTCTTAGTCTGACCTGTCATCCAGGACCTGTTTGCCTTGGGAGACCCTACCAGAGACATATAGCCCCCGACAACATAGCTCCTAGGATCACTCGGGGACTCAAACCCCTCCACCACAATAAGGTGGCGGTTCAAGGAGGGGAGTTGTGAAAATAATATGTGTAATCTTTAAAATTTTGAAAGAAAGAGAAACTATACACATTTTGGACTTCCACTGCTGTGCGAGGCCTTGACATACTGGAAGCCATGTAACAGGCCACAGATCAAATATTGGCTGTTTGAGGTGTTTTAATAAACTCAGCACTTCTAACATGCTTATGGATGTTACATTAATTACAATAATATAGCACATGTCATAGCAATGTTATTGCAAATGGCCTTTACCTTTGAATGACTGTTGAAACAGTCATTACTGTCAGGAGCCATTGTTAATACAAAATTTTCTAATACTTCAAGCTGTTTATGCGGCTCATAAAGCATGCCATATTCTCCTTGGTCTGGGGGATAGTTAATACTTGAATTTTGTAGATGTAAATTCAAACCTCCACCACAATTTATCTAACTTAAACTCATAATTAGAGATGAGCCACATTATTAACTAGCATGGTTTGCATTGTTCCTTTGCCTACCTTCAGATTTGCGTATGTTTCCTGAACGATGTGTTGTATGTGTGAGCTGTCCAGAGGATGTCTCGGCGCACCGTGGAAACCCGAGCCTGGTCGCGGTGAGTGCTGTTTATACTTCTCTATTTCCTTTTTCAGTTGCCTGGCAAGAAGTCCTGTATGGGCTTGTGTGTTTTTATAGGGATGTGTTGCCAATCTGCTCTCACTTTATACAGTATATGCTGATCCTGTTTTGAGTCATTTTGTACATGTTAGCTCTTAAAAATATCTAGATACTTCTACAGTTTTCACACAATCATGTGTGGCAGAGAACAGCAAAAAGCTTTTTTTTTCCTTTTTTATTTTTATCCAAACTCACTGTGGCACTGCAGGCAATGTTGACATTGTACAAACATAATAGTCATCTTACATAAACATCATGGTTTTGTCTGCTCTTTAAACAGCACACTTGGTGTTAACATTTATATTACAATGAATGTAATACATAATTAATAAATCTTTTATTATACAAGATATCATTCAAAGTTCAAGAGTACTACAAAAACCCTCCATCATTCTGTTACATGTACATTGTTTGGGGTTCTAATTGAGAATTCAATTAATGTGATTGTCTGCACATGTTGTGCATTGATTGACTGCAATCAGATATAGTTGGGGTCATAGTATACTTTCCTGTAGGAGTCCGTTGCTGTATATATTGTGTTGTACACTTGCCTATGTCATAAGACCCTAGTTTTGTAGTTCTTTTCTCTCTCTCTCTCTCTCTCTCTCTCTCTCTCTCTCTCTCTCTCTCTTCAGATTACAGACATTTATCTTTTGGCCAGTGCTCCCAAACTCCCCAGTGTACTCTGGGAAATGGTGGTGGAGCTTTTCACCTTGGCACTCACATCAAGGACAGACATCTCTCCCATCACATCCCATGATCAGTGGCCCACTGTTTTTCTATGGGGTTTTTGCTATTGTCTCCCTTTGAAATGTCTCTGCACTCTCCACAGTCTGGCTTCCAATGAAAGCAGCAATTGTAATATTTTTAGTGGAGCAGTATAGTCGTCAGTGAAAAGTTCAGATTGTGTAACCAATTTTCCAGTTCAAGGAGGCATTTCTGTCGATTGCGTTCCTCTCCTCAGGATGTGGTTCTCTGGGCTCATACAGTACAAGCATTGGGAATTGGAGGGTGGGTGTCTTGTGGTGGAGCTCTCACTAGCACAAACTCAAACGTGGTTTGCAGGGGAAAGATACCAGACAGCAAGGTCTGAAGTTGTTCACATGACAAAAACAATTTATTTACATGCCCCACTCTCTTCTAATTTGTCAGGTAGGAGATTTTGTAGTTTTTATGTTGCCAAGAAAGTTGAAAATCAAAATGAAAAAAGTTGTGCGAGTCACATCTGATGTAAGGCATAATATTATAATGGTACTGTTTAAAAATAATGGGGTCTTTGGAGTTCTGTGTCAGAGTTACTCATATGTTGAAAAAGGGGTCTTTTATCCCACAAGTCTTGACAGCACAAGCCTGCTAGTCCCAAAAAAATGCAGTTTCCCTATGTTTAGGGAAGTTTTGGTTTTTGTTGTTAGGATTCAGTTTGTGCGACTTGTGTTGAACAAAAATCCTTAACCACAGTGGAAATGTAGACTCATCAAATTAGCACTTCTCATAAGGTCAGGGGGGTTATGTTGTGAGGGAACTAAGGTGACATCATGGTTGGCCTTTTGTCCTGTGAACGCCGCTGTCTCACTCCCACACTTGCTGTATGTCTCTTGTATATTGTGTTCTTATTAGTCATATTTCCAGCTGTGGTTCAGTTAGAAGAGGAGATGGTGAGGTTTAGTCATCGACAGTAATGTCAAGGGATCTAGGATACCTATTCTTAATGCTTTTTGGTACTCATAGGCAATAATCAAACCTACATTTTTGGGTTGAAACCACAGTTTCTACAGTCCATGTTTTGTGTTCTGAAACAGCATTAAAGACCATTGAGGGAGAGTAAAACTATCAATGTTAAGACAAACATATAAAATTTGTGGCAATTATGATTGCAATCAATCACTCATGGGGAAGAACCCACTGAGAATCATCACATAACTGCAGTTCCCCTCAACTCTGCAAATTGTTCGTCTGCTGACTCCCTTTCAGTACATTGAGTTGGTTTTATGGCTGCAAGTTTACTGTTTTGGTTCATTCACACAGCACTCAGCAGTGTGATTATCATTGGCAGCTGGCAGCTGTTTTCAGCAAATAGCTTCAATAAACCCACTGTACCTGCCAGTACCAAACAGCAGACAAAGCCTTTAGCAGGTAATAAAAGTACAGCATCTAGCAGCTAATAAGTCAGATACAGTCATGGCCAAAAATATCAGCACCCCTGCATTTCTGTCAGATAACGCACCACTTCTCCCACAAAGTTGAGGAAAATTATTCCTACAACCACATCTGTAGAGGCAACATTAATTGTCAAGTTGATCTGTCACAGTTACCATCGTCCTGATATACAAGGTCGGTTCTAGAAACCTAGAACCAAATGTTGCTTTCCAGAGGTAGGGCCATTTAATTGACTATGTTTGCATGAGACAGTGGGAAACAAATAAAAGGCATTTCTTAGACAATACAATTTTTTTTTCTTCACATTTGAAGACTTCAGTCCTTCATAAAAGGCTGCTCCTTTGTGTGTCAGCACCAACAGTGAGGAGGGCAGCATGGGATGGGAGAGCTAGTGTTTAGGATTGTGGCCATTGTTTTCTAGTCAGGCACAGTGGGCAGCTGAGGTGAGTGGCGTGCTGGGCTGCAGAAGTTTGGATCAAAGGCAGAGCAGATGTGTTTCCAGTTGCCCCCCCCCCTTCTGAGCTCTGAACAAGCCTGTGTGTTTACTCATGACCTCAGCACGTCTCTGTTCTTCACAGCTCACAACAGCTAGCAGCAGTTCTTTCCCAAGCGTCCAGAGTCTGCTGCTCTCCCCTCCACTTAGGTCAAAAACATGGCCATGATCTCTTACACCACATAATCATGTCGCTTTCCATCCTGTGTCAAGTTTCTTTCATTGATTTGCATGAAGGGAGTCAAAACAGTTAACAGCTTGTCTTAATCCTTACACATGGGTGGATCCAAAAGCTTTCATCATTGTTCAGGGATAAGAGCTGTCCTCTATTTTAGACAAGTATGTGCCCATGCACGTTTGTTGACTTTGTTGCAGGGAAGATGTGGTGAGCTTAGACAAACAGGGCATGTTTCCTCTGTGGGAGCAGGGTGTGTGGAGGGTGAGGAGTGTATTCTGTGGTCCAGTTTCATGAGCATCTCTGCAGGAGGTATTTCTGCCCTGACAGTTAAATAGTCTTGTTGTTTCTTGGTGCCCAGTCAGAAAAATCAAAGACTTTCTAGTGAAAGCAATAATTGCATTTTTATAGCTTAGGACATTTAAGAATTTCAAGCAGTATAATCATCATTTTGTGACAGGAGTGAATAAGTGGTTTTATGGCACTGGCTTTGTGTATGCTAGGTGAGTTACAACGACATTAGGGTCATTTCAAGAGCAAACAATCTGGCTTCATCTACGAAAGCAAATATGAGTTGATGGTTGATTGTAGCTGTCCATGCGGACCTGTTTTCTGACTTGTCATCCTGCTGTTTTTGTAATTTTTATGTTTTAATGTAACTAAAAGTTTGCTTTGCCTCCATGATGGGTTGAGAAAGGTCTTTGATCTTTCTGGCTTTGAAAACCCTTGCAAAGCCCATTAGATAAACTGAAAAATGCATGAACATGGTTGCAAAAAACAATGTTTCAACTGATCATACTTATTATATATTCTGTGCTGCTGATTATGTTAATAATTGCAACAACTTTAACTCAGAGACTATATTGATGCATTACTTTCAAGTACAGCTGTATCAAAAGATAATCAACATAATCTTCCTATCTGTGCTCCTATAGTATCTTAGATGGCAAAGGAGAAATGGTAAATTCCCTGAATATTGTGCAGCCTTGAATTTTCCAAGAGTCATTTAGAGGGGGCAAGCTATGAGAATCTATACTGATATCCCTTTAAACCAAAAGATTCATTCTCATTTATTCCCCTTGCCCTTTTGCCAGGCTTATCTCTGTTATCTGACGTCCAGATGTGCTGTCTCTTTACAGCTCCCATGGTGGAGCCATGTTGTTTTGGAGGCCCCAGGACCGGGGAGGGCACTGTTGGTCTACTCTATGTGTTGCATCATGCAAAGTGTTTTGCAGTTTTGTATGGGGGCGAGCAGACTGGTTGGCGATGGGGAGGGGTTAAATCCTTGTTGTTGAAGAAGAGGCGGTAACAGCCTTGGGTAGACATTCTTATTTACCACCATTCCTACCTCCTTTTTCATGGGACTCTTCCAGCTACTGGGAGTCTGCATCATTCAGTACAAGCTTAGGCCAGCTTAGTTCCCACACAATGCGTAGTCTTGTATCCACATAACTTGTGATAATGATAATGTTGTTTATGAGCCATCTCTCTCTCTATCTCTCCCTCTTTATCTGTAACCCCTTTACATTATTCTCTAGTTGCTGTACACAGAATATCCAACCCCTGGATCCCTAGTCATAATAGTTCATGCACCATCTCTATGTGTGTCTGATTTTCTATCTGTCTTTCTCTGTCTACTTGCTGTGTATATCCAACCTCTTCCTCTCTTCATGCTTCTTCCTTTCCATCACTCTGATATTTCACCCTCTCTTTTGAAGTTGTGCCGACAGGAACAGAAAGGCACTAAACTGTCCCCGAGAGACTCCCGTTGACTTCTTGTTGGTTTTTCTTTCAAGTTCATTTTCAAACAGCATTTATTCATATAAAGTAGATGAGAATAAATATCAAGGCATTACAATGCAAATTTTGGCACCCACATCTTTCTCAGAATTGTTGTTGTTGGGGTGGGTGTGTGAGTGCGTAGGCAGATGCAAGTCTGTATGTGTGTCACTGTCCCAAATCTAAATCCAAGGCTAGCCATAGCTTTGAGTGTAAGAGAGCGTGAAGACTGAGCCTCTGCCCACACTCCGTCTCTACACAAAAGGCAGTCTGTGGAGAACTTCCTGTATGGGATTCTTGTGTTTGTGGGCATGCTGGTGAGACTGTTGAGGTCAGGCGATATGATTCAAGGGGGGGTGCCTCTTCTTTTGTTATGTTCCCCTCTAAAGGCTCTCTTTTTACTCTCTTATTCATTCTGTGGTATCTTGTCTCTTGTTTTTTGTCATCTCCGCCTACTTCAGTGTTGCCCAGCCCCCTTATTCACTCCTCTCCCTCTCTCTGGCCTCTTCATTCCGTGTTGCTAGGTCTCAACACCCAATGCAAAGCAACAATCTATAGAGTTTTTAGCCACACTAGCAGCATGGCTCTGGAAGTGTCGGATGATCCACCCCTTTGGTCCAGCGTGAAATAGCTTAATAACTACTGGATGGGTTTCTATGAAATTTGGTACATATATTCATGGTGACCAGAAAATGATTCCTAATAATTTTGTTAAACCCCTGGCTGTTCATCTTGCACCACTAGCAGGTCAAAGTTTTCACTTAGCAGGGAACTATTTCAACATCCACTTGATGTACTGACAAACCTTTGTGCAGATATTCATGGTCCCCAGGGGAAGATTTCTACTTACTTTAGTGATCCCCTGACTTGTTCTGTAGTGCCGCCATGAAAACTACTTTGATGTACTCCAATTAAATGTCTTCATCACTGTGGGCTAGATTATAGTAAAACATTTTACACACTTTCATGTCCCCCTCAGGATGAACTGTAAGGACTTTGGCAATCCCTTTACTTCTTACCTAGTGCCATCAGGTCAAACTTTGAATCTGTACACTACTTCTATTTAAGCCAGAGTACCTGCAAAACTAATGATGTGCATCAAACTGTTATACTTTGATTATTGCTAAGTGGCAGTTGTTAGCATGCTAATATACTAATGATAGTAGCATTAACATTATGCCTCCTATATATCATTTTCGTTATAAGCATGTTAACATGCTTATACCCAAGTATAGCCTGATCATAGAGAGCATAGAGGTTATTAGGTTACAGCATGCTGTTTAATTCATGAAGCTGTTCATGTGCTGATGTTTATTCTGGTTAAACAAGTATGCTTTGGCTCAGTCTTGAAACCAGAGCTACTCTAATATTATCCCACCAACTTTTTTGGTGTTATTAATTTACAAGAAATTCACAGGCTCTCAACATTTAAGTTCTGCTCAATTTACTGCCAGTGTCTCTTGTTGTCTCATAAATTTAGGGTCTGTTCTGGCTCAGCCAAGGAAAAAACTGTGATTAACCTTTATTAATGGCCTGTTGAGGACATGTTGGTGAGATCCAACTTTTGACTGACTGCTCTGTCCCAGAGGCTCGCCTGCACATTATTGATACTGAATACTTCAAAGTCTGTGGTTATATTGAATGTGTAACCCTTAATCAACTATTTTAGCCAACTAAGATTGTGCTGTTTAGGCTATAGAGTATTAATTGTATTGTGCCATATAAAAGTAATGTTTTACACAAATAAGGATTCTTAAATGAAGCCCTCAATGGTCATCCTGCTTTTTCAGTGAAGGTTTCAAGTTTCAGTTTTTCCATCCACACTGCTTTTAAATCACTGAACCTGCAGCTCGTGCTGCTATAGTCTATTAGCTACTCCCACTAATTTGTTTATACTGAGTGGATAGTAAATCATTTTTCCATTCCCATGACTCGGCTGGATTTTTCTTCTGCCTTGCTCCATAATCTAATTAATGATTGGTTTTAAATCATTGTTTTAACTTGTCAACATTTTTTCACCGTTTAGTAACTCTGCCTCAGGCATCAAGCATCATTCTAACCGTCAGACTATGAAACACGTCACACTAAGACAAGCTGGTGATTATTTTCTGAAGTCTTTGAAGTGGTTGCTTTGCAAAGTTTTAAATGAAGGACTCGTTCTTTGCCAGCCTATGTCTCTGAATTCATTATAGAAAATATTCTTGTTGAGCTGTATCACAGGTCATATAGTGAGGTGACGATTCGGGAAAATCAGAAGAGGATACATCTGTATAAACTATGTTTATCACACTGAATAATGTCTTTTTTTGTATTCCTTATAATGTGATTTTTTACATAAATAGTTTTTTATTAAATGCCCAACAGTGCTAGATGATAACAGTATTGTGTGAAGCCAAACCTTTTCAAGAATAATTTTTGTTTACACTGATTCTGTTTGTCCTCTGTAGACTGAGCTGAGTGAACAAAGCAGATCAGAATACTTTTCCAGAGTGGGAGAAACCCAGGAGCCTTTAAACAGCACCTCAAAAACAAAGATGACTGTGCTTCAGAAGATGTAAGTATGATCTAATGCTGAACTTTCCAATCCCACAAGTCAGAGAGGACACTGTGTATATGCTCTTATCCTTTTAACTTTATCAGAGTCCAACAAGTGATTGTCCAGCAGGAGCTCTGTGGTTTCAGTATGGGGGAGCAGCAAATTGATCAGAGAGCATGTCCCAAAGACCAGAGAGGAGGATTGAGAGGTGGACAGTCAGAATCAAGCCCAAAAGAGACTGTGTCCAGTTCTGGACAGAAGGTTCTCCCAGAGGCAGACCACAGGGTGTCTTGTCCAAGTGCCTCCACTCAAACTATGGCTCAGAAGCGGGGAGTGACCCAGGAGCAGCAGACAGAGGATAGTCCTCCAGACAGGATCAACCCAAACAGGGCCTCAGTAGTTTCCTGCCAGCAAGAATTTAGTCAGGAGACCAGTAGGAACAAGAGGTGCAAGCTGATCAGTGCAGGGGAAGACCATTGCCCACAGAGGGCCGAGAGGACGTGCCTTGGAAGACCTCCAGCCACAGTGCAAACTCAATCCACTGAATGCTCCACACAAACTTCCAAGCATGGCCTTCTTTCTCTGCTGCCCCTTCCTCCAGTTGAAACCAAGGCAGACTCCAAGGTTTTCCCAATCTCTGAGTGCAAGAAAACCACACTGGAAGTAGAGCTGCTTACTCCAGGGAAACGGGCCCAGAGCCTCCTGCTCACAAGCAGCAATAACACGGCACAGACAAACCAAAACAGGCTGGCCACAAGTCTGAGGGGCCTATCTGTCAAGACTGCATCCTCAGGCTCCTCTATTAGTTCCAGATCCACACTCGGAGAGGAGGGGAGTGAAAATGGACCCAGAACCTCTAGATTACGACGAGTGAAGAGGTCCTGCCACAGAGATAGAGATATTTTCAGGCCTCATGTTTACCCCATGCAGTCTCCTCAGACAACTGGCATTTTTGTCACGTTACTACGATAGTTTTTTTTCCACGTGCTGTATAAGCACACATCAATGCTGAACACACGATGCCAATTGATACAAAAGCATTTGAGTTACGCTTTGTCAAATACTTGAAACAGACTTTGCCTCCACCCATAAGTAGTGGTGGTCAAGAGAGACTCGCAAATGAAAGTCAAAAACCTTTAATTGAAGTTTAGATTTGGTTTTGTGTTAAAGATTGGGGATTTCAGACAGGCAGGAGCCATGCAGTACGTCATGGCTTTCAGTCTGAAATGCTGGCTCCTATGTGTCTGAAAACTGGCCCGTTTCCCCACTGAAGCTCTGCTGTGATTGAATACTGTTTCCAGATTTATTTCATCGCCCTGTATTCAAATATGAATTTTCATAGTTAGATTTCATCCATATACAATTTGCCTAATACTTAGTTGCTAAGCACTTGAAATGTATCTTTAAATCTCAGGGTACTGCTGCAGGTTTTATGTCAAATTTCAACCAAATATGTCTGGGTTTATGAACAGCATTGAAATATTAGTGGTTTTATCGGGCAATAGCGGGATGTCTGCAGTATCACAGGTTAAAATGTAGCTGCTGTCTTTACTCCAATGCTTGATGGGGATGTATATGACACTCAGTTGGCCCAGGCCTACGGGGCAACTTGGGGCCAACAGTTACTCATAGCTTCATGTACAGACCAAGACATTCCACATTGTTGACATAATGTTGCCTGAATACATTATTTCTGAATTTTTATTTTTATTGTACTGGAAAGACATTTTATGATGTAGATTAAAGTTTTTAACCCAAAGAGGAAAAAACAATTTCAATTTTTGTGAAAATTTACAAGCAGGCTGAGGCAGCCAGCCAGCTTGAAATAACATGCAGATCTCTGTGTGAGCAAAACAATCTGCAGAGTTCAGACTGGCTGGGGAAGGCAATGTGTCCAACAACGATACTAAAGCAGTGTTCCTCTGTTCATGTCCTGTCAGTGGCAGTGAGCGTGACCTGAGGTGAGTCACCAACAGAAGCCAGCTTTGTTTTTATCAAGATATATGGCGGATTATGAAACAGCCCCTAATGTTTTAAGTCCTAATATGTTTAAGATCATTCTCAAGAGGTGTTGACAATGACTTGGCTTGTCTTTAATCCTTGTAAACAGATTCTGCAGGAGAGTACATCTTACAATATTTTTAACTCCATAAGGTCTGCTAGTTTGAAAGGTATTAGTTAAGCCTGCTACTTAATCAGACAAGAGCAACATTATCTAAGGATCATGTGAAACACGAATATTTTTGTGTCTTGGATTGACTTAATACAAGAATGGCTTACTACAGTGTAATTAGCAAATGCATTTGGACAGAGATGTTGCTCAAGTCTATGATGTCTCTCCCAACAGCAGATGTCACGCAAGCTATGCTCCAACATGTTTGGCTTAATGTAGCACAGACAGACACCACTAAATCTCCAGAACAAAGGCAACTTTAATTCTTTTTATACAAAATATTTAATAAATATGACTTTCAAAAATATATTGCCGGATCAACACAATTCTCAACAAAGTCAAAAATAGGACAAAATGTTGCCGTAATCTCAAAGGGTTATAACAAATGAGATAAAACATGTCTTTAAGAGCCTCATTTTTTTTAAACTGCACAGAAACAAAGCAGACTTGCAGAGCAAGGCAGTGTATTTTATCAGATTCTACAGTGTTCCCATTGCCACCCTTCTGTTCAAGTACTCATTGTCTAGATTATATTATGACTAAAGCAGATGGGAATTCTGGCATGTTTGACATGACTTGCTGTGTATTTTGGTGGATTTTACCAACTTTGAAAAAAAATGTCAATGGATTCAGCTGAAGCTGAAGGACATTTGTTACCTTAAGTATTTATCCATTTTAGTGGCAAGCAATATGTCTGCCACCATGTCCATCCCTTGCAGCGGCAGTGATCTTTTGTTGTCCTAACCTCACTTGCCTTCAGTCA